TATGTATAAGTAGACATATGCATAAATACATAAATGAAAGAGTAAATATATATATATAAATATATATAAACAAATATATACTGATGTGTGCATGTATATATGTGTACAAATATAAACCCAACAAAAAATACCACTAATTCAGCCTTAAAATGGTGTTTTTATTATTATGTCTAGCATATTAAAATTAAAACTATGCATAGAGGTGTATATATATATATATTTAAATATAAACCAAAGAGTGGGGCAGAACAAGGCAAACCTGTAAGTGGCCACTTCGGCATGTTCTGATGTGACACCACTACAGTAAATGTCGCAACTTCAGCTCCACTCTACAGCAAGTTGTCGGCCATGTGCTTACATCTATGGTTAGGAGCGGTTCCATGTGAATGGAAGGCTTGGATCAACTGGACTTTTCCCTCAAGTCTTCTTCTACACCACAACTTCTTCCTCATTTCTTCTACTAGCAAACAAACACACAAGAAAATGGTGAGTTGAGAGAAATTAAAAGCTTCGGTGGTGAAGACATTAGGGAAAACATAACGTGTGAGTGTGCGAGTGAGATTGGGAGTCCAAAACTTGGTTTCTGTTTAAGGTAAGCTTCTTTTCTCCTTGAATTGCATTCTTCCACTCTTCCTTCGTACTTAAACACATTTCTTAACAACCTTAGCACTCCAGATTGTGCAGAAGACTTCAACCGAAGCCATTTTTCTACAATATTTCTAGAAGTTGCAGACCGAGCAGGTATGCCACTGTCCCTCTTTTTTCTCTTCCATTTAGTTAATCTAGTGAGCCTTATGTAACCTAGAATCATAATAGGATATTAGGGATTTGTTAGAAATCAATTAGACAAAGCTAAACACTCTAGGAAACTGGAAATTAATCTCACTATCTACAACAGTTGCGCGTATTGCGGAACTGTTCTTCAACCTTTCAATCCAACCTTTTCTTGTGATTCTTTGGCATGTTGCTGCTATTTCTTTAAGGTAAAATGGGTAGTAGTTTAGTTCATACAAAGATGGCATTTCTAGATTGCATTTCATGGGATGTGTTCTTTAAAAATGCATAGAGGAAGTGGATTTTCAAATGGAAAAAGGGTTAGTGCGTTCATCTTGTGCTTGATAATTATCTAATCTATTTTAATTGTATTTAATAAGTTTTTGTTATATTTGAACGTGATTGATGACGGTGAACGTCTTAAAACCAGAATAGAGAAGAAGAGGGACGCATAACAGAGGCCATTAGCCTCTGCTAAGCGTTCGGGCATCAAAATGCCCTTGAAATCATGCTTCATAGTTTCTTTTGTGCTAACACATGAAAGAGAGGGATTTTAGGTGCAAATGAATAACCTGGAATCGCCTCTAGTAGTTTGCTAACGCGCAGATACCGATCCAAAGAGAGTTGAGTGTATTCAGGCACCCAAGTTTGCCAAAACAGGGACACAATAGTGTGCCTCTGCACATCGTCTGTTCCCTTGGACCGATTGCCTTGTGCAATAGGCCAGCGGCCATGCTGGCCTTGCAGACATGAGAACATGTCGAGGGGCCTTCACGAAAGCCCACTGCCACGGGCCTAACATGGGGACTTCCCATGGGCTGAATAATTGGAGAGGTTGGAGCCTTAGGGAAGAATCAAGAAAAAAAATTAATTAATAAAATTGGAAAAAAGTTTGTGTAATTAAGTGGAAATTTGTAAAAGTTATATTGGAAAATGGTTAAGTGTAACATGAGATAGAAATTGG